ATAATACTTCTTGATGTAAGGTGAGCTGTTAACTAGCTAAATAAAGACCGTTCATTTTTAACCTTACATAATGTATGTAATCTGATTACATATTAAACAACAGCGAAACCAAAACAATAGCAGATTGAAATGACTGGATACAGAGCACAGAACTCATTCTCTCCATCTCATCATGTCATAAACCCACAGACTGTAACCAGAATTACCCACTGGACACTTCAGTGACCTTCCTTTTTTGTTTAACGTTGCTGAAGATTAGAGGTGCCAGCAGGCAACCTTGCTTGGTGCCTCTAATAATCCTGATTGGGTGTGAACACTGGCCATTGTTAATAATGTGAGCAGCAGGATTCTTATACAACATCTGGATACATTTATTAAAGTATTTCCCAAACCCAAAACGACTTAGATTAAGCATGTATCCTCATTCCACCCTGTCAAAGGCCTTTTCTGCATCGAGCCCAAGTAAAATAATAACTTATCTTTAACGATTTGGGCTTGTTGTATAATGTTAAGTATGCATATCGCTATTGTCCGAACAAAACCTCGCCAAAATGGAAACTTTGCAGGAGAAGGAAAAAAAACATACTTCACTTTTACTGTAAGTCAATGGAACCAGACTTCTTTCCAAGTCATTTTGGGTCATTTCTTTTGATCCATTCATCTTGAAATTTACACACAATGTATAAGGCAGGGGGTTCTTTCAAATTATGTCAAAAACTGAAAAATGACAAAAATGGAGATATGAGGTTTTGTTCCGACAGCAGTGATATAACATTGCTGAATGAATGTCGTCCCTTGATAAACCCTGTTTGGTGTGGGTGGATGACACTCGGCCGCACTCCAAATTGGCGAGTTAGGATTTTTACTGAGATTTTGGCATCTTCATGCTTTAGGGTGACAGATCTGTATGAAGCTGGATCTTTTTTTTGGATGGCTTTTTCAGGATGAGGGTTATATTAGAAGATCTTAGCAATGGTGGGAAGATTTCTTTGTTAACTGTGTCTTTATACATACAAAGTATTGGGGTTTTAACAACAATCTAAAAATGATTTATAAAACTCTTTGCTGAACCCATAATTGCTTCTGTTAGCTCGCTCTCTGTAAGTGGATCAGGATTGATTTCTCACCTTGTTGGATACGTCTTAAGGTGAGTGAAAGTCTGTCTAAGAAAGAAGACATTAAGGAATCAGAGCTAACACTCAATGCGTTTACATGCACTCAATAATCTGATCATATTTGGATTTCTGCAGTTACCTGATTACTGAAATGGTCATGTAAACAGCACACTCTGATTTCTTAGATCGGAGTAAGGTCTAGAAATCTGATTAAGAAATCTGATAAAGAGGCTGGACTTTAGCTCAGTAATCAGATTTCTCACTGCATATTTCAGTCTGAGCATGCGCAGAACAGAAAGCTATACCGGAAATAAGTGAGCAGCCACGAGACGCAGCAAAACCTTTTTGGAGCGGCGCTAAAACCAAATACACGCTTGCGGAAATGAAGGAGTTAAATATTCTTCATCTTCTAGATGATGTATATCCATATTTTCAGGTAAAGCGGCGCGATGTTTTATAAAATCTGTGGCATGAAGTTTGAGATTTACATTTCATTTACATCGAGTCGTCTTCTGTGAGTTTATTGGCTGGTTGCAAAGCAGAAATCTGATTACTGTCTGACTCATGTAGACCTGAAGTTTCCCTATTATCTGATTACCCAAGTGCATGTAAACGTGTTGATCAGATTACTAACAAAATCTGATTTTCTGCAGTTATTGGATTATTAAGTGCATGTAAATGCACTCACTGTGGTTTACATAGGTTCCAATAGTACTGCTTAAAGACCCCACTGATGTCCTAGTTTTCATCCTTAATTGCCACTATAAAAGTGGACTCTTTCCTCCTTGAGATAAACCTAGCAAGATATTTCTCTGTGCCAGCTTTCTGTGTTAATAAAGCATCAAGAGATGCATGTTTTTTTGCTGTAGTTTCCCCTGTAGCCTCAATTAATTTATTCTCTAAATAAATTATTTCCTTTTCCAGGTTGATCTGGGCCAGATTATCTCTTCTCTTTTTTTGAGAGACAACAGAAGAGATTATTACCTCTCTTGCACAGTGGTCACCAACCTTTTTAGGTATAAGATCACCTTTTGAAAGATCTACTGGCATGAATGCCAGGCCTAGGCCAGCTGTACATGTCCCCATAGCCTCCAATAACATAAAACAAAACTCTTTACTCATATTATTAATGTACAGCTGAGTGCTGGCCATCATGGCACTCAGTGAGATTCCTGGGTCTGCGTGAGAACTTGACCACTTTGCTGGCTAGTACTACTTGCCGGTGCTCCATCTGTTGTTACTGACACAAATTTCCGAAGTGGAAGGTTTTCTCAGTTGCATACATTTTGAAAGCACTTTCTAGATCCTCACCTCTTCTACTCTCACTCAAACGCAAAAGGGTGAGAAAGACTTCCTTGATACTGATCATTAAACACCACGCAAATAAACACAACAAGCTGGGCCATGTCAGTTATATCCTCAGATTCATCAAATTGCAGAGAAAAGAATTCACGAAGAGATAAATCTCTCAGTGTCTGTTTGGACTTGTCTTCTGACAATGACTTCACTCTTGCTACAGTTAAAGTTTCTGAATAATGCATTAGCAGCGATCGTCTTCGCTTCTTTGAACGACTCTCCATCTGGCAGCTAAAGCGAGAAGAAGCCTCGGTGTTGGCTTTCCCCTTTTCCAACGGTCTGGTAAAAAACAACAAAAGAGCTTTCATCTCTTCAACTTTTTTGAGCGAACTGAACTTCTCATTGTCCATAACTTCAGATGCAGTGTGCATTGTGGAGAACTGGCACTCCAAGTTGCCTCTTTTGGGCAAAGCTACACTCTGTAGACATATCAGGCAAATTGCTTTGTCCTTAACTGTGATGAACAAAAAGTCATTCTTCCACTCCTGGTGAAAATTGTACATCTTTGCTTTCTTCTTCGACGGCCATTCTTCACCCAACGTTACTCTCTGAGTTACTGTACGGAACCAGCCTGCACCGCCGGCTGCCAGCAGAGGGTGACGGCGGCGAGGCGCTACAAGTTCGGGGGACCCCAATTCCCAGAAGCTCTTGGGCTGATTAGGCCCAACCTGGCACACCTGTGGACTACATAAGGCTGTGGCAAACAGCAGCCCTATGACACACCTTTGTAGAGGGGTGACCGGTATGGTACTTAGCCCAGGTGGGTATTTAGACAGAAAGGAAAGGAAAAAGAAAAGAAGAGAAAAGAAAAGAAAAGAGGGATGGAAAAACGAAAGAGAGAAATTGCCCCAAAACTACTTAAAAGCCAAAAAGAAGGCTTGAACAAGAAACGGCTCCAAGTCATACAAAAAGTGTTTGTTCCACAAAGAGCAAACAGGTGAAACATAAAGCTGACCTTCCTCTCATCACAGAGGAAGTGTTGTTTGTTTTCTGATTATCTTTTATTTCACTTTTCTATCTCGCTGCTTTCAGCGTCCCCTTTGTTCGTCTTTTTCCCTCTGTTTTTTATTTCCCATTCATTGAGGTGTTACTGTTTTTCCAGCGGTAACTTCTCGGACCGCTATTCAGTACATCGGTGGTTCGAGTCTGGCTCTGAGCCTCCTCAACCCCAATGTGCACAATCACCCAATTTACACTCCATCATCTCTATAAATTCTTTTAAGACCCTTTCTCACTGGTTTTCCGCTCTGCACCTGGGTCCGCCTCCTTGCTGTCCCGTAACAGTTACAGCATTACAAGTGCCTGCTTAACTAGCTAGCGAACCACTGCAGATGCAGAATAACACAGCTACAGTAACTTAAGCGTGATAACTGAAGCAGCTAATTGATTTACCTTGATCGACTTGCATAGTCTTGGAGACTGACCTGTTGATCGCGACCGACTGGTTGGCAACCACTGCTTTAGCATATGCCTTTAAAGTTTCCCATATCAGAGAAGGACCTGTGGAATCTGCATTGTTAATAAACAGAAATATGTTTAGTTCACGTGTAATCCAAGTGATTTTGTTAAAATTGACAAAAGTAAACACGCTTAAATATGGTATGGCCGACATAATCATTTAAAAGTCAGAGGTACCAGATCTGGACAGATTTGGTGGGAGTTTTTGGACCACGTCATACATCTTTACATATTAACATCACACAGACAAAACTCAAAAAGAAGGTCTGACTCTGTTTAGGGCTCAAATGCAAAATCAACACTATACTGATGAAGATATGATGGCAATAGTAGATAATTCACTCACATCCTCGGAAGACACGTCCTTCACCAAGTTCTGACTGAGTTCTCTCCGAACACGATTTCAGTGCTCTCGCAAAAGTCAGACTCATCTGCTAGTAGGGGTTCAAAGCACAACCCACATTACAAAGTGCTCTTCAGCACATTATGTGCAGTTACATATTTCCACCAGAGAGGTCTCCAAATCCCCAAATTCTACATAGTAAGTGGGAAATCGCCAAGATCGCGACTGAGGTTCAATTGGTAGGGTTATACACTAAATACACTGAGGCACGATCAGAGATTACAATATGGCCACTAGAATAATTAGTATTATTATCTACCATGCTACTGTTGATGAGGAAATAATCAATTCTTGAAAAAGTTTGGTACACAGAGGAGAAATATGTAATTTTTTCCCCCTTAGCATTATAAAGCCTGTCACACCAAATTCACAACATATTTCTGCAAGACCAGTTCATTTATTGGACCAAAGAGGTCAAGATTTGCCAAACACATTCACCCATACTTTGTTTAAGTCCCCACCCTATATGACCTTCCTACAAGGCAAGTCCCTTGACCCCTTACATGACTGGCAGCGGTGGGCCCAAAATTTTACAACATACTTTAACTATAACTAGTTTAGTTATACTATAACTAAAGTACAGCTCAGCCCTGTGGTTATAATATGTGAATAATAAGTCTTAGTGTGTCATAAGCCTGGGATTCTAAGGGTTTTAACTTTGTACATACCTTCATGAAAAAGCTGATATCAAAAACATTGGGGAAACAGACATTAGCCAGTATTAAGGGTTCATTATGTAATGTTGACTTAACCAAATTAAACCGTCTGGATGAATCGTTTATACTCGATTATAAATGGGAGATTCTCATTCATCTCATAACACTAAAAGCAGAGGGGTGATTATACTCCTACACAATGCTTCATGATGTAAAGTATGATGTTAGTATATGTAATATGATTATTTATTAAACACAAGCAACTCCTACCTCATGTTTTCTCTTCTTGTCTAAGTCATGAACTTAGAGCCTGTAACCATAATCTCCCACTCAACACTTCAGTGACATTTTTGGCTGGTTTTGCATCATTTTTCAGCCCCAGTCCACGTCCAGCTGCCTCCGCTTCCAAATTCCATTCCTCAAACCTGGCTGAAACAACAAAAAAACAGGAAGACCAGAGTAATTTATTAATTCCATTCCAGCCAGGAAGGTCACATTCAGATACAATATCTCTTCTTCCAGGAAGTCCTGGTCATGAAGGGCAGTGCAAATGAGATAAGAAGGTTTTATACACAGGCATAAAAGAGGACAGATAACACCACAAAAACACAACAAACAGAAACAAAACATAAGATAATTGGGAGGAAAATAAAGCACATGTTAAAAGCAGACATTACAAAAGTTTGGCTTAAAATGTACTTGAATCCACTGATTTGAATCCATTCATGGTGGAGGGGCAAAATAGTCCGCAACGAAAATGTATTTTGTTAGATTTATGACTATTTTACCATCATCAACATTACATATAAACACTCAGACACATATGGGTTCACTGGTGGTTTTGGATAGAAAATAAAATATCTATATTTGTGTTGTAGTCATGGCGACCCCTGGTTCCTATCACCACCACTGTAAAGACATCTGAATCTGAAAGTTTCTGTGAATCAATGAACCACCTCACATCAAACCACTCTGTACATCTCAAGGAATTAAATATTCTCAAATTTGGAAAAAAAATTGGTGGAGTTCCCTTTTAGGTATACCTAAAGGCTAAGGTGATGATAACCAATATTCAGGTGACTAAGGTCTGCTGGTTGGCTTGTGATTGGTCGGTGGAGTCACGTGACAAACTGAGGGATTCTGGGAAGTAGGGTCCGCAACAGAATGAGATTCTAAATGAGGACCGGGAAGCGTGACAGGAAAGGGAGTATAATTACCCTGTTTAGTGTTTTGTTAAATGTTCTTGTTTGTCAGTCTCACTTAAAAGGGTGGGACGGGTGGGCAGAGGGGCTGTGGTGGGAGAGTGAGTGACTGGGTGGAGGGGGTTGGGTGGTTGTGGTACCATATCAGCTTATATCTGTATGAATATTGATAAACGGTGAGTTGTGACAATAATAGTGAAAGGAAAAAGAAAAATGAAAGGAGGAAAATTAAATAAATAAATACACACACACTTAACCACTTATCCTTCTGGGTCGCGGGGGGAACTGGAACCTATCCCAGCGCTCACTGGGCGGAAGGCAAGAAACACCCTGGCTTGTTGTGAAGCCATTTGATGTGCCTTTCTATTAGCTAAATATGCGGGGGACATGTTTTGCGCCACTTAGACAGTCTCTTAACCTTTTCAACTCCTTGAGACCACCGGTGGTTCCAAAACACACTCATATTCTTCATAACTTTCATATTTCCTAAGCTACATTCTAAAGGTGGGGGTCATATGAGAGCTGTAACTGTCTTCTTTCCAGTCAAATAGATGGGTGATGTAATTTTAAACCCTTATAATAAAAGAAGCTGAACTTTCAGTTTTTTTTGTCTACTGAAAGTCGACTCATTTTCCACAAATCTGGGCTATAAACTATAAACAGATGGCGTCTCTTCAGTGATCTGCTCTGTAAAAATTATTTTTATAAAATAATGCAAAGAGCGTCTAAGATTTTTGACTTTAAGCAGTAAATTGTAAGCATATAGCAACATGTGTGATCATAAAACACATTTCTGTTAATTTGAGGGGAGCTTTTACCAAAAAATAAATAAATAAATAAATAAAATAATAGTTTACATTTATTTCTTGCAGTTACTGAATAATTTGCCTTACAATTTGGTCATGTAAATTCAGATGGACAAGCCAAAATACACCCTGGAGAATAAGAGAAGCACGGCTAATCCGCCTTTCTCAAGCGTCTATTAACGTTCATCAAACGTTCAGCGAAATATAACAATTAACATTTTAAAAGACATTTGATTGTAGTTTGTTCTTTGCCTTTCATGAGTGGGAAAAATGTCAGTTTGATCATTTTTGGACACCTATTTCATGAGAAGTTGAGGAGAGAAAGTCAAACATCCAGTGAATTGCACTCTCAATTTGTTCCCACCCTAATAAGTCCACCCACATTTAGCTCAGTTTCTCAGGGATGTCCCTAGTATGGAAGTCCAGAGAGGCCATAAGGTAATTATAATTTTCTAGATTGTTATCTTGAGATAACAAAGTAATTTACTTGTTATCTCAAGATACAACAGTGGTTATCTAAAGATAACAAGTTAAATATTATATTATCTCAAGATAACAAAGTTGTTATCTTGAGATAACAAGCTACTTATTTTGTGATCTCAAGATAACTATCCAGAACATTATAGCGACAGCTTATGGCTTCTCTGAACTTCCATACCCTATATGTCTTAGGCATGAGACGTTTTGATTGGATAATATTTCCTTAAAAATTTAAAATCTCATTTTCTATTCAGCTCCATTCTGTATCTTCAGATGCATCAGATACATCCTTGAAATTCTGATCTCAATCTCCTCTTTTCTCCAATGGATTCAGAAACCAGTGTTTCCTCATCAAGACAGCATTGAGATCTGCTGTATTCTTTATGAGACATTCTAATGAAAGACATTGGCTTGATTTCCCTCCCACTTCATGTACTGAGAATTACAATAATACTGTTGATTTTTCAGGCCTACACATTGACTTTTTGGCCTTCATTGCATGGCCTTTTAAACATCCTCCTCCTCTTCTTGCTTCTGTTTATGCCCCAAGCAACATAAACAAACCCTCATGAACTCTTAACCCTCATTACCTCTAAACTTCTCCATGAACTCTCAGACACCCCGTGAACTTCTAACCTGTTTCATGAACTTTTACACCAGACATGTGCTCACCTCTAAATGCTGTGCAGCAGTCAGTCTTGCTGACCTTTGGCTGACTGTTCACACTTGTAACAGTGCCCTCCCGTTTACAATCCCAGCAGTCATCAGCTCTGAGTCATGGTTGGTCTCTTGTATGCAGAGCCACTGTTGGTCTTGGCCTTAATCTTGTACTGTGCAGTAAAACTGAACTGAACTGAAAAGCAAAGTGTTTGAGGAGATCGAATCGAACAGCTTGTGAGAAACGAGCTTCTTTAAACCTCTCAGAGTAAAGAGTCAGGGTAAATATCGAGTAGCCAGCACTGCTGCCAAGTATGTGAACTTTCTGAGCCACAACCCTCAAAATTGTGGCAAACCAATGCGCGAAAAACTCATTTATAGAGTCTAGGGTTAGTCAGGCACCAATAGCTTTTTAGAATGCCAAATAATAATATGCAAATCAAGCTTTTCAACATGTAACTCTGGTCAGCTCTGTGATTTAAGTGTCTTTGCTTTCCACCATGCCTGACTCTAGTCCTTCTCTTCCTTTTTTTGCATCCATATGGATGGAACTGGTGGAACATGGGTATGGTGATGAATTTTACATTCTGTAGGTGTGTGAGGTCTAATAGGGGTGGAGGGGGTTCTACTGGGAGCAGTGCTGGTTGTACCGTCTACCAGCATCAGGAAGGAACAGAATAGGCTAAAGCTAACCCTGATGAAACTTGGAAAAGACAATGGGCACCTCATGTGAGGACAATCATTTTGTCCTGCATGGCCCTGACGTCCTGGCTGGGCTTGAAAGCCTCTCGGCTGCAGCAACTGAAGCAGGCCCACACTGCCACTCAGTCAGGCCCAGCCCTTTGATCTAGGCCTTCATCTATTACTTCAAAGTTTACATTTTCTCTAATGTGGTGGTTTCTGCACAACCTCTGAGTCGAGACATGCCAAGTGAAACATTAGAAATCCCCAAAAAATCATTAAGGCATATGATAGTAAACATCTGTCTTATTAAACAGATCAAAAGGATTTGCATCATTCAATGCTTAGTTGCCCAGGGTGGAAAAGTATATGAGCAGAGACAGCTACTTCTAACAAAATGATTTCTCAAGCAGCTCAGTAAAATCGTTTAGCCAACAGAAAATTCCTGCTCATACATTAGAGCCAGGTTTGTTCTAATTACTTTAGTGTTGAGCATGACAATAAGTCAGCAGCAAGGCTTTTTAAGGGACAACAGCTGTTAAGAACACCTGAGAAGAGCTCTGGTAAAAAATAAACATTCCCCTAGAATCATTATCTGCTCTTTACACACCGTGAGCACAATTAATGCTTCAAAGTCGAGGCAAAAATGTTTCTTAGTACTTTTTTTGCCTTTAATAACATGATTATTATACAGTCGCCTTTTAGTGTTGATCTGGTTGTATACCTCAAACTAACCAGAACCAAACCTCTGCCGAACACACCCTCGATCGTACAGTTAAAAAGACATCAGCGTACACTGAACAAACAATGAGTGCGTAAACATGCACTCAATAATCTGATCATCATCGAATTTCTGAAGTTACCCAATTATGCAAATACTCCGCAGCCTACTGGATTTTAGCTCAATAATCAGATTTCTCAGTGCATGTAAACTCTTACTCTGATTTCTTTCGCTTTTCTCAGTCTGTGCATGCGCGAGATCAGACGGTGGATGTCGCGAGACGCAGCAAAACACTGTTGGAGCGATGCTGAAACTAAACATGAAATAAAGGAATTAAATATTCTTCATCTTCTAGATGAAGATTGTTCAAGTTTGAGTTTTACATTATATTTACGTCACGTCGTCTTCTGTGAGTTTATTGGCTCGTTGTAAAGCAGAAATCTGATTACTGTCTGACTCATGTAGACCGAGAGTTTCCCATTATCCGATTACTCAAGTGCATGTAAACGTGTTGATCGGATTACTGACAAAATCAGATTTTCTGCAGTTATCGGATTATTAAGTGCATGTAACAAACTCAATGTGGCGATTAGGACCAAGAGCAGTCGGGGGGAAGGCCTCAGTACAAACAACACTGACCATCAGACGTCTGAGGTTGTGCATTATTTCATATTTAGGATCATGACCATATAAGAAACTCCCAGCTGGTTTTCTCTATGAAAAAGATGAATGGCTTTTGAAAATCACTGCCTGGTAATTAACTAATGTTCCAAAGCTGATACCTTTTGTTCGTTGTACATTTCCTCCCAGTGAGTGTCACTGGGTCCTCTCACTTATGAGGTCATAGGCTAACCCAAAAAGACTGGCTATTCCTTTACACTG